AATATTCGTTTACGCAGTGGATTATGTTAAACAACGCCTAACAAATAAGGTTTTCGCAACTTCACTCATCATGTAATTGTGTTTGAAGAACTTCGTGTAATTAAAATTAACATACATTCATTGACTGCTTGCATTTTTTTACTTTTTCGTAGGCGATGTAATCTCAATCTTTGAACAGCTGTAATATCTGTCTTGCCTAAAAAATATTTTCCATTTTAATAACTTCAAAGATTTATAGAAACTACGAATAATATAGAAATTATTTATAATCAATAAACTTAAGTTTAGTATTCGGCACAAATGCTTAATTTGTTTTATTATTTTCGAAGAACAGGGTGAAATATTATTCTGATTTAGGCATTTTTTATTAAATCAATATTTGTACTACGATGTAACTTTAAAATGTTTATTTATCCATGCCGGTACGCTTACAACGACAGATCTCTATTCACATACACGACGGCTAATCACAATCGACCCGTATAGAAATGATTTCATCGAAAGCGAGTGACGTACAGTTCTGCCGTAACGCATTTTCATTGCATTTGTACGGATTTACACCCTAGTCGCGCCTAAAGAAGTTTTACTTCAATAAATTAATTGGTAAAAACGTTGCCACGAAAAAGTGACAATTTATTTTTCAACATAATTTCTTTCAAGCTAGATATAGTTGGCTTAGCAACACGCCAATTTTTTTATCCCGTCCAAAAAATACGTTTTTCGAGTGCTGGAAAATAAGCCGAAAAGTTGCGGCGAGGCTAAGTACTTGTTGGATGACTTTCATATTATGATAGGTTGTCCACGAGGTTATTTTTTTCAATTAAAAACTCAATTGTATTTTTCACATCTAAAATCAGATTTATTTATTACTGGCTTGAAAGTCCACTACCACTACTTTTAAATGTGAAGAGCAACAAGCAACCTTTAAGGACAATTTTGACTTCAAAGAAATGCCTTTCTGCAAAAGATCGATTGATGTTGGTGAAGGCATTGTTTGGTTCCAATCGATTGTGCCCTTATTTTAAATTTATCAAATTATTTTATTTATTATTTATGTCCAATTATAAGATTAATAATTTCCTTAATAGTTTGATTATTAATACCAAATTTATATGGGGGTTTCTATCCTTAATTTTTTAAAATTAATTAGTACGAAAGGACCATTAATTTATAATAATTATTTTAATTTGAATAAAATTGTTATTTTGGCAGATTAGTGCAATGAATTTAGAATTCATAAATGTATACTATACAAATAATATAATGAATTTATTTATAATGTTAATTAGTATAATTTTAATAACTATTATATTATTAATTGGAGTGGCTTTTTTAACTTTATTAGAACGAAAGGTTTTAGGTTATATTCAAATTCGTAAAGGTCCTAATAAAGTAAGATTAGTGGGATTATTACAACCTATTAGAGATGCAATTAAATTATTTAGAAAAGAACAAGTTATTTTAAATTTATCGGGTAACACAATATATTTTTGATCATGACAACTCATGAGATAAACTGACTAACAATAAGACTAAGGGATCATACCTAATTAGATTCATATTCAAAATAGTGCATTTATATTATTTGTTAGAAAACTAAGTTTTTTGATCATTATGGACAATAATTTTAGATATTATGGCATTAATATTTGTACAATGCCTGACATATCAATATATAACAACGATCATAATTGAAGTGTTCTATTAATGAGGGAAATATATATCTTGTATTTTCAGTTAATAAATGACCTACAATTGTATCATCTCGTAAAGCGATTCTTTCAGAATTTTATTTTTTTGTTAGGTTACACCTCATTACGAAATAAACTGCTTCAAGTTTTCTGCATTGTTTGCGTCTTATCAGAAACTGGCACCTGTCGAGATGATCATTTCAGAGTGAAAAAGCTCATCAAGCTTTTTTTTTGTGTGAGAGTAATAATATGTGTAGCAATATATAGAGAAGATTACAGTACAATGAACCCGTTTTGAAATGATCGTTGGCAAACGTACCATTTATGGAGTCGTTTACCAACTGTTAAAAAATATCAATATGTACATCGTAAATTTTATCTGTCAACTAAAGTTTTTTTTATATTTTCAGAAACCAGCTCCTGTAGAAATTGTTGTGAACAATGACAATCTACCGTCTCCCAACGTTTCTGCTGAAGAAGATGCACCTAAGCCACCAAATATTAATGCTAATGGTTCAGCAGTCGTTCCTTTAAATGTGGATGGTGGAAGTGCGACTGGTGAAGCAACTCCACCAGGCGGATCCACCAGTTTGGTGGCGTCCAGCGTTTGTGGGGACAGTAAAAGGGCTAGTCTGGGCAATTGCAGTGCAGGTGGATTATCATATACTGGAAGACTATGTAAGTTGAACCTTACCATCAGTATTTCATCATACATTAACTGCACGATATATATTACCAATTTAACGTGAACGGGCAAGCAGTGAACGAGCTTTAAGTAAGTTACCATCACAAATTTGCAAATTTGCAAATAGATTTATCTATTTATATGCTATTCAATATTTTTGAATTTTAGTAAATTAATTGAACACATTAAAAAATAATATTTTGATGCATGCCAATTATTCATTTCACATAAAATTATTTTGATTCAAATGATTAAAATGTAATTTATTTTATAGTCAAAACGAATTATTTTTATGTAACTTCATTCAAACCCATTAGTATTCTATAATGAAAATGGAATTTCCAATATTTCTGTTTACATAGTTTCATACGGCTCGGCTTAATTTGATTTCATTCAGAATATAATTAATTTTCATATAGCGCGGTTTCCGATACTATGAGTATTTTGTATAAAGGATTATTCAAAATAATGAAATTTGTGCTTCAATTTTCGCACAATTTATAGTCTATCAAATCCTGTAACTGATTTAAAATATGACACGTGAAATGGTTTACAAGATTTCATGCGACACAAGTTTAAAAACAATAAATATCTGTGAAAATAACAATACTTGTAAATCAACACGTAACACGATTATCGAAAAATCTGAATTTATTAATAAAAATAATTCTGTAGGGAATTGTGTATAGCTTCCAAATAGAAAAATATTCCTGAAATGAAGATGAAATTTGTCTTGCATGTATTTCCATCTAAAAAGTACTGGATGTAGCTTTCATAAATTACTCATCAAATTTAGGGCATGTTTGACTAATTTATTCTAACCACTAACAACAATTATGAAAATTCTAAAATAGCTCCGTCTGGACTTTCATAAATTACTCATCAAATTTAGGGCATGTTTGACTAATTTATTCTAACCACTAACAACAATTATGAAAATTCTAAAATAGCTCCATCTGGACTTGCAGTACGTTCTAGGCCTTCAAGCAAAATGACCAAGTACGTTGAATGCTGGGGCGCGGATAAACCTTTCGCCAATATCACAGACTCCAGCATGGCCAAAAATATTGGATTGGCGGTAAAGTATATTGTACAAATATTTAATGAAAATATAGTATTCAAATATGTTGATGAAACGACGAACTACTTCATGTTGCCTGAACTAACTAATTTTAAGATCATTCTAAGAACTGGGCTCATCCTTCCTTTCATCAACTTTTGATGTTGGGTGTATCTTCTAAACAATTTATAATAAATTTTAATATTCCAAGCTCAAGTCTATAACTGATATCATAAAAGTTGCCTAAACAATAACTTTTTTTTTTAATTAAACATAATTCCAATGTATATTCATTCAATTTTGGTGGTTTCCAGAGCATAGCCATGATCGAATCTAATTTAGAGCCATCTCGCATGTGCTGTTTCTGTTGTTGTGGAGGCAGTGGCTCCGACTGGTGCGGTCGTGGAGCACCCAGAGAGCTTAAGCCCTGTACATTAAGATATAGAGTTGAAGAAAGGGAATCTATGTATGCCACTCGTCGAGACGATCTTTTCAGGAGGGATGTTGCTTGTGCATATGGACTGTTTATTCTGATGGCTGCTGTATTATTACTTACACAACAGAGGTTAGACAATAGACATTTTACGATTTTATCCGTACTTCCGTCTCAAATCAGATTATCATTACTTTTATTGTCGATTTTCAATCCCAAACATTGATCATCATTATTGATTATTCCTGCGTTGCTGTGTTACCAGATTTTTTGGTTATAATTATTTTTCCTTTAGTATTGTGATTTGTGGATCCTTGTTGGCCACCGCTGTTTCTCTAAGTGCTCTGCTATGGCTCAGTGCGCATGGGCCAAAATCTGATGAACTTCAACATGGAGGCAACTCAGCAACTCCGATTACTGCTCTATGTGCTGGACCAGCAGATATAGTTGCAGCAAGCAGGTTTCTGAGGTTGGCTGTTTTTGGACTGATGACCTCACTTATTGCATGTTGCGCTGCCATTGGCCTGGTGAGTTTACGAACGAGGTAGAGGTTCGATTAGTTACCGAAACGAAGCTACTTTTAGGAACTTCGTTAAATTTACGTAGTTAAACTTTACAGTATTTGATGCAAAATGCGCCTCTTTCATCCAATAATCGATACGCGACAGGAAAGTTAAAGAATTTTTCTTAAATATATTCAGCAATAAACAATATGAGTTTACACTCACAGTTATTTGAATCTGTGTATCAAATTCAAATCCTTCTGAAAGTCAACTAATTATGGCTAAATATATGAATAAACGTTATCAAGTACTACTTTCTGATGTTTTTAATTGTTATGCAAATCTTAAATTTTTGTGCAACCATCATATATTGTTTTTTTGTTTTACCAATAATTAATCATGTCACTGTTTCAGATAAACTTCGAGGACAACACCATAGAGCTTGTTAACAACCTAAATTCTACAGACATTGAAAATAATGAATGGATTCTAACAGAAATGGAGAACTTTAAAAACGTACCGGTAAGTCCAAAAAGTATTTTATGACTATTGCGCTTTATAGTTATATTAAGTCTTAGTTATGAATAGTATAATTGAAAATTTTATGCAATTTTTACTATAATATTTTTAACTTTACAGACATATCTGCACGCTTGTGCAATCTCATTGACAACTGTATCAGTCTTCCTGCGCTCTGGATTTCTTCTGAAGTTATGTGTGATGATAATTATTGGATTGTGTCAATTGGCAGTTATTGTAACCAGCGAATTTGCTCAAAATTACGATGGTTTCTATGACACAAGGTAATAGAAACACATTAGATGATGTAGAAATATCTTACTTTTACCTTTTTTGCAATATAATTTCAATACCCAATATGAGATATTAATTTTACTATTTGCAGAATTTGGTTATGGGCTCTGGTGATGTTCATTGTACTGATATCTATTTTACACACATTGGATCGTCAAGGTGAATATACCGCTAGGACAGATTTTTTGTGGAGAGCAAAACTTAAGGTGGAACAAGATGAAGTCGAAACTATGAGAGGAATCAATAAAGTATGTTCAAATCTTTAACTACGTAAAAATGTGTGCTATGAATTATTAATATATAGCAGGGTTAACTTCATAGGCATTGACTTCAAACCTGTTATATAATTTGTAAATATATTTTCAGATCCTTTTAGAAAACATATTACCAGCCCACGTAGCTCAACATTTTCTTCGAAGTGCTAGAGATATTTCTCGAGCAAATTCAAATGATCAGAACAAAAATATCAGGCAAAGTTCAATTGACAATAAACTAAATAATGAAGACGAGCAGCAAAAATTACTGCAGCCGGTGTCTGTTCTTCCTGCACATCAACTCAAAGAACAGCTCTACCACGAGAGATATGCCTGCGTTGCAGTCATGTTTGCTTCAATTCCAAATTATAAAGAATTTTATGATGAAACTGATGTCAATAAACAAGGACTAGAATGCCTGAGGTTGCTGAATGAAATCATCTGCGATTTTGATAAGGTGATATTAAGTGATATTTGTTTTTACACCAATTTATCTAAATGATTTTATTTTGGTAGTTGCTCCTGAAACCCAAGTTCAGCAGTATTGAAAAAATCAAAACTATTGGGAGTACCTATATGCTAGCTTCTGGGTTACGGCCAGGAAAAGAAGAAAGTGCTGAGGTAGGATTTATCAAATCGCTTTTATACTTGTGATTTTACATCAATGTTTCAAAAATACTTCTTAATTATCTATTAGGAATTGAAACGTTCTGAAGAGCAAACTGTTGTGGTGCTGGTAGAATTTGCCTGTGCTTTGTTTGCTGCTCTTGATCAAATCAACAGAGAGTCATTTCAGAGGTTTCGACTGAGAGTCGGTTTAAACCATGGACCAGTAATTGCAGGAGTTGTTGGAGCTCAAAAGCCCCAATACGATATTTGGGGAAACACTGTCAATGTGGCATCTAGAATGGACTCATGTGGCATTATGGGCAGAATGCAGGTAAACATGCAATGAGCAATTATTCTTAATAGATATCGTCTGAGTAAGTAATATCAGAGTTTATTTTTGCTAAAAATAAATGCACTGAGAAGTTTGACTAACTAATTATACTGTGAAACCAAGAACATCACAATAAGTAAAACAAATCGAACCAGAAACTATCAGTAAATTTCAACTATCAGTAAAATTCGTTTAATTCGATTAATGCGTCCACTAATCACGTGATTCATTTTTTAGAAATTTTTAATTTTTTTGAAAAGTTAGATCAAAAATGAACCCGCAAAACCCTCCTCCCTTTAAAAGCACCTTTGTTTGCACATTTGGCTCAAGAAATTGTGCCCTTTAGACTTCCTGATATCGAGGTCGTCCGATTTATGGCGGTGGCTGTTTACAAAACTTCTACCCTCTTCTTTAAAATAGCATTGTTAAAAAAATACAACACTTGATTTAGGATAATGGCTGTGGACCTTTCTAAACACGGACCTTATTATTTTGTTTATAGTAGTCCTGACGCTTTTAGAAACTAGAAACAAAATTATTCTTCAAAATGTAATATTGCTAACAGCATTCCGACCAAACCGTTATAGGCCATGAATAAAGTCTTTAATTTTGTTTTAGCACTTGAAATAAGCAAGATGTTACTATTACCAATGACATTATAGATCATCAAAACATGAATTTCATCATTACTCTTTATGTTTTTTATTACCATAAATGTAGTTTTTCTAAATTGTTCAATTAGGTCACAGAATCCACAGCAAAGGTGCTGATGAGGGCTGGATACAATTGTGAGTGTCGTGGGCCTACTTATGTAAAAGGTAAAGGTACTTTAACAACATATTTTATCAAGACACAGCATGATAATCAATAAGATTAAATAAGCTAATGAATACATATTCTATAAATGTTTATTTTTATAAACTTGAAGGTACAAATCGATACAATAGTAGTTTTATCTTCAGATATTGTGTTGAAATATAAAAAGATTTATTATGAAACATTTTAATTAGGTCGGAGTCTCCAAATTGACTTAATTTCATTTCCATTATATGGACAAACAAAAGATATTAAATATATATGTATGTATATATTGCCATATATATTCATATATACATGTGTGAATATAATACAATGCATCTTGTCAAATTTTGCATATTACTGATTATTAAGTATGGAACTCATTTTTTCTTTTATTTAAGAACCTAAAACATGTCAATATAAAGTTAGGTTTATACATTTATGCAAAAGCTCTATGTGGTTAAAATAAGTGTCATACAGTTCTATTTTTGGAATGCATCTTTGCCAATATATTCTTATAATAATATACCTGTACTTACAAATCTTTAAAAATATTTTTTAAAATTAAAGTTGATTATATATGTACATAACAAAGATAACTAGGAATGGATGAATATTTGCAATGAGTGCATTTAAAAAACATGACAAAGATATGACTATGTTTAGGCCATAATGAAGATTGAAGAACGTACATAAAATTTAATTTAATGGATATTATTAGTGAAAAAAGGATATATATATATATATATATATATATATATAAAATTAAGTGAAAATAAAGTTTACTATATATTTAAAGCTTATCTGCTAGCATATGGTGTAACTTATCCTGTTTTCTGTGAAGACATAAGAATATTCTTATTTAAGTTCTATTTACATATATTTAGTAGATCGTATGAAAATATGATAGATATATTTATTATTCGAATGAATTCTGTGGATGTAATAATATCTAACTTAAATTTATAAAACTGAAAATATTTTAAAAGGTACTCAGAAATTATTTTGTGATACTGTATCATCTGAACAATTTAAAACATGTGATTTTCTCCTGATAAATTTTATTGGAAGTTTACATAATAGCTAACAAAAGTTAATGAAAAGTAGCTTCATTGATGTTATTTCCCATTCAAAATGTATAAGTGTTAACATTTTCTTAGATTTAAAATTGATATACAATAATAAATATTTAGATATAATTATAATAGATATATTTTATAAATATAAATCTTATTTATTGCGAAAAATATATTTCAGTATAAAATTTAATAAAAGGTTGAGTATCAGCTACATGAAAATATTGTGTTATTTTTGTTGTGATGTACATTTGAAAATTTTAATAGTTAATTTATTTAAAAGGTGAAAAACAAGTAATAAATCATGCTTCCAACAATGATCAATAAGGACAAGCTGGTGGACTATGCGAAACCGAAAAGCTCTCAAAGAAAAGTGATATTATACCTAGGTGTAAGTGATAATTCGCCTTGAGGCAAGTTGCATGAACTTCCTGATTATGGGTAAATATGGCTTTATCAAAAGAATTTAATGGCAAAATTAAAAGGTAATAATTTAGAGGGTTTATTAGACCTGGAGCTATATAAGCAAAATTTCATCAAATTTGAAACAAAACCCCAGTAGACTTTTCCGCCAATGAAGGATGTTTTTTATACAAATTACTCGAAATCATCAAAATTTGCGAAGAAAATGTTAAAGATTTTTTTTTATTATCGCTCAAACCTAATCGCAAATCCTTATAGGGTTTCATCAAATTGCTTTAATTTTTTATATCCGTGCAGCCTTTACACTTTTTTTAACTTCTCGAAGGATTTGTTTTTACGAAAAAATCATATTTGCTAATTTTATGTAATTCTCGATGTGTCAAACCATTCTGAATAGAATGAGACCAAATTTGATAAAAATATGTGAGCCGATTTTTGATCTTTTGTCGACATTTTCTCAGAAACGATTGTAAAAAAGAATTGTCCACGTTTTAGCCCACAATCTTGATTTAATTGTAAAAGTTCACAAACTGTCCCAAAGATATTGGTTTGGAAATCGCATTGATTAAATTTTGACAAAAATCGGACAAGCCGTTTTCTTGTAATAAAGTGTTAAAATTTTTTTTCGACGAATTTTATGTTTTTTTTGACGATAGCTACCATTGTCTTATAGATCATACTAAAATATTACGACCCTTCGACAAGTCGTTTAATTTTAAAAATTCGTCAAAGTTTGCAAAAATTGATATCGGCGTTTGTCAAAATTAGACCTTTCATCGACGTTTGCTCAAAAACGCCTGAACCGATTTCAAAAATTTAAAAGCCAATCGATGTATTTCGATGTGGATTATCTTCTCTCAGTTTTGTGCAGTGATCGGCCGAGCCGTTTCTTTGTAGTTTGGAAAAAAATGTTAAACTTTTCGTCCACGTTTAAGCTCATACTACCGAATCGATTTTAAAATCAAAAAATGTTTGAAAGATATTAGTTAGGAATGATACTGATTAGTTTTAGGTTATTAATTAATTGAGTGTTGAAAAAAAAATTAGGCCGATATTTATAGAACTTTTTTGGCAATATATATCATTGTCTTATAGAACTTACTGAAATATTACGGCCTTACGATAAGTAGCTTAACTTTAAAAATTCATCAAAGTTTGAGAAAATGAGTAGTTTTTTTGACGTTTGTTAAAATTAAAATTAGACTATTTACTGAGTATAAAGATAGAGTGCATACTAAACTATTAAAGTCCTACGGAAACTGGTTGAATTATGAAAATTATTGATTTAAGAAAATTTGCTTATAGAAAATACTCCGAGTTAACGTGTTTGTTCGTTTTCTAAAATCCACTCGGAATACTTTTAATCGCTCATAAATTAATTTATTTCTAATTGATCGAGTCGATTATTTACACATATCGGGAAATTCATGTAACTTGCCTCATAGCAAAATACCAATACCAACTATAGTTGGAACATGAAGTACATGAAATGAAATGTGCTAAACAAGTTAATTCAGTTTATACAAATACAGATATTATACGTACATTTGAAAGACATCAATTGCAAATCATATTTTTAGTGAGAGTGATAATTTTATTTTCTTAATAACAGTTGAACATTTTACCTAAATATCTAAATATCAATTTCATTAATTTAGTTAAGCTTATTTTGTATACCATCAAAGAAGTTCATGCAACTCTCCTTAAGGCAATTACTTCATGCAACTCTCCTAAAGGCAAACAAAACTCCGTTTGTTCGGTGTCAAACAATTCAGAATGACTTCAAACGTCGAGAAAACAAAATTAGCAAACTTGAATTTCCAGCAATAACGAACTTGTACTACGTGAAGTTAATCAAATATGTTCCGCCATCTATTAGTTGAAAACGGTGTTGCCAAATTGACAAAGAATATTTAATATTTTCGTTTCTTGCTGTCATTGCCTTCAAGTTACTTTTCTACTACAAATTCGCAAATTTGTTGTAGTTTGGATTATTTATTTATTTTTCCTTATAAGAATATAAACAAATTTCTAACATTCCACATAATGGAATGTCGTGTTTTAAGCAGGAAGTGAATGTGCGTCTAGATTAATCAAATTGACCAATAACAGTGACTAATATGATGATTGTCATCAAAAAGATAAATTGATATAACATGGGTGTGTTTGAGGGCAAACAGATATCACAGAAGATATTCAATAAAAAGCTTTTATGATACAAGGCATCAATATTCCAACCTTCAATTTATTTAATTTTACATGTCTATTTAATTCATTGTGCTAAAATGGGGAAATTGTTGAGTATTCTAGCAAGAGATGATGCAAATTGTTTCACATCTCAAAGGTATGATGTGTTCTTGGATTTTGAAAATGCTGTCCCAACAGAAACTGAACGAGAAGTCTATAATGAAGTTCAGAGAGTTCTCAGAGCATCTGATAGAATTTTAGAAGAAATCCAGTCTTATAAAGTAAGTACAACCTTACTATAAATATACACCTAAACAGTTATTACATAAATCTATTTTCAGGGTGCTGGGAAAGAAGTCAGAGAGGCTATTTCAGATCCTAATCCTGAATGTTTGGAAAGAGCTTGGAAAACAATATTACCTCTAGTCGAAAAACTTCGGTATTGTTATGAACATTCTGTAGAATTAGAAAAAGCTGTACCGCATTTACTTGAAAAGTTAGTCGGTGGTGAATGGAGTCCTACTCAGCATTTAGAGACTCAACAAGCTTTAGTAAAACAACTCGCAGAGATTTTGGAATTTGTTTTGAAATTTGATGAATACAAGGTAATAATTTATATTTTAGATCCTTTTGTTTCCTTAGTCTATCATTACAATTAATAAGCTTGCATGTGATCATTGTCTAATAATATTTTTTTTAATTTTTAGATGAAAACACCAGCAATTCAAAATGATTTCAGCTACTATAGACGAGTAGTATCTCGCCAAAGAAATACTACTGATTCTGAAGCCCCAGAATTATTAGTATCAGTTGAATTGGCTAATAAAATGTCTTTATTTTATGCTCATGCCACACCAATGTTGAAGGTCTTGAGTGAATCAGTCTCTAAATTTGTGGCCGAACATGAATCTGATATAGAGAATACTACAGAAACTTTAGGCACAATGGCTAAAGTTTGCTTGCGTATGCTGGAAAATCCGTAAGTGCATATAAAATAGTAAAATGTTAATATTTTGTATTTCTTATTCATATATCTTATTTTCTATAAAACAAATTTAAATATTTTATTTTATAACGTTGAGTTTGTATCATATTTTTCTTTGTACCAAGACTTCTATGACTCATTCTTATTTATTTGTATACAAATTTCTGGCATGTGATTCAGAATATTTTTGACTCATTCAATGTTGTTAATTGAGCATTAGCATTTTATATATTCAGATAATTCATTCTTTATTTTATTTCAGAAAACTTGTTGCACAATTTGAAAGAGAAGAAACTCATTTATTAGTTTTGAGAGTTATGGTTGGTTTAGTTATTTTGTATGACCATGTTCACCCACAAGGTGCCTTTACGAGAAATTCATATGTTGATGTAAAGGGATGTATTAGACTATTGCAGTCACAGCCTGCACACAGAGCTGAACCGTTACTAAATGCCTTGCGCTATACTACCAAACATTTAAATGAAGAAAGTACATCAAAGACTATAAAAAATATGCTGTCCACATAAGATATTAAAAAAGGTATTGTAATTTAAAGATACATGAACAATTAATTAATCAAATCAATGAAATGAAAATATTGTCACTATTTTATTCCATAATAATTTTTATAATTGAAGTTCAAATAATAATATTTGAACATATATGAATTACTCTTTTTGAAATTGAATTTTTTTATCAAATATCATACATGCAAACTTACATTTACACATTAATTTAAAATTAAAGACTGCTTTTTACTTCCTTTTTTATTGTGTAAAGATTGAATTATGTTCACTTCAGTAATTATTTTTTATTTATATATAAATATAATTTTTTGAGTATTTTAAATTCACTTTATATTCATTTTATCAGGTTTTCCAAAAATTAGCTGATTACTTTTTTAACAACTATGTTTTTTAAATATGTTCCTAAAATTCCTGCATTTATTAAAATTATTAGCTTGCTTTTTTTTATTTAATTGAACTGGTTAAAGTGGCCTTCGTAGAACTATTATTCTAAATAATTATACAGAAATAAACATTATTGCCTAAGAAACATGTGATAACCATAAGCTTTTGAACAGTTGTAGTATTTAAAACGTAGTAAGAATTATTTATGAAATTGTCACAATCATTTTTGTTTTCTTTATAATAATATTCTAAAAGCCTGAAAAATTATTTAGTCTCTGGAGGTTTATAGAGTGCAATAAAAATGTACTTTACGATGACGATAATTGTGATAACCCAGAAATATTACAAAATATGCTCATTTAGAACAGTACCTTCTTTTTTTTGCTTCAAGCGTGCATTTACTTCATTAAGTCTCTCTATTGTTAGAAGCATTTAGTCAATTACAATAAGTTAACTAGGAACTATAAGCAATATTTGTAATTTGTTTGTAATATAATTAAATTAATCTATAAAAAAAATGTACATAAAACAATTAACTTTTAATTATGTACCACACGATTGAATTATTTTTGGCAATATATTTATTTAAAAAATGTAACTATATTACCTTATTACATATTTTAAATGTATTTGTTAAAATGTATATATTTGACTTTACAGATTCTAAAAACTTTATTATATCTTAATTATAATTATAAATAATATATCAATTTCTATCATAACACTAATCAAAAAATATATGAATCATGCATAACATACTTGCAAAGTATTTAAAGGTTTAAATTATAATATTTTTTTCTAAAGTTAATTATAGAGATCCATAAGTTCTTCACCTTATGCTTTAATTATTATATTGACTAACAACATTAAATAATAAATAAATGTCTTTAGGATTAACTTTTATGATATGCCATTGATAAAAATGAAATGAAAGATTTTTTTATAAGTTTTATTTGTTGATTAAATATATATATATATATATATATATATATATTATGCCATTATTAAATATATATAATTTTTATTATTACAAATATCAATGTGCATTATCGTGCAATGAAATTTTCAACAGAACTAGTTCTTTGCAACGATCGTATTCAAAATATTTCGGAAAATTTGTTTCCAATTTTGTTATTTGCCAATTCTGTTTAGTTGTAATGCTTCGATATTTTGCTTTATCTAAACATTCCATAAAATATTCATAGCAAGGTGCCACCGTGTCCAAATCAGCTAATGTGAAGACATACCTCTTTTCCAACGTGATGTAAGCTGTTTTCTTTGGTGGGATTGCAAATATACATTCCAAAGTTTTGACAAATTCTTCTGTTAAATCGTTGTCGTAGATAACTGTAAAAAATATATGTTTTGAATAGGTAGATGAAATTGAAACATTTAGGAAGACTGCAATATCCGTAATTGGTTGCAGATCAGGAAGGTGAAAACAGTACTTTATCTGAATTATTAAAATAATTTAAATCGTATATTTTTGTAAGAAAAAACAGATTAGTTTGAGTGACTGTAGCCTTATTTAGAATGTTTGCTTATTCAAATCTCTAAGAAGTCTATGTTCAGCTAACATAAACAGTCAATCAACCTCTCAACAAAAAAATATGTATTTAAAGTTTGGTAGTAATATTGAACTTAAATAATTCTCACCATCAGCTGCTATTACTAATTCTACTTTTGCTAATTCTTTTATCATAGGTTCTGATAATTCCTTCTTGAAATCAAGTTCCATTGTGCATACTCGTCCTTTTATATTGTTTAGGTTTCTTTGTATATTTCTGTTTATTAACTCTAGTATTCCTCCAATGTCAATGTCTAAAATACATATAAAAATAGATATTTGAGAATTTTCCAAATGTACAAATAACACCTACTTAATGAGTTAATTTCTACATATCAAATTATTAACGCACCTGTGCAAATTACGTTGTCGAATTTCATACCAGCTACTATGCCGGTTAATCCGGAACCGGAACCCAATTCTAAAACTGCTGCAGATGTTTTATCAGATTTAGTTGTGCGATTACTTAATAATTCGGTGCCATGATGCAGAATAAAATCAGCTAATAAAAATGCGCCTCGCCATATTTGTAATCCAACTAATTTCAAAGTAGTTGATTGGCAATATTCTGGAAAAAATTGATTGATACTTGATCAAATATTTATTGGCGGATGAACAAGATTTTTCAAACTTTAGTGAATAGTTTGATGAGTATGTTTAATATTTGTGTTTTTTTCACAACAAGTTACAGTCCAATCATTATAGTAAGTTCACCTCGGAATTCGAGATAACCAGCTGTAAGTCGGTAAATACCTTGTATTTTGCATCCTAAAAGTTGTCTCAAAATCTATATATGTTGCATACACCCTACCATATAGGTTTTGAGACAACTTTTAGGATGCAATTACAGACTTACACCTGGGTATCTCGAATTCCGAGATTCTTACCTAATTTAAGCTTAAATGACTGGACTATTATGATAAGATTTTTAATGAGAATACATCAGAACAATTGTTCCACAAAAATTTGAATAATTTTTTTTCTCATTATTATGAAATTATAAATAGAGCAAGCGTTTTGGTTAGCAATGGAAACTTTAAAAGCACTTACAATTAGAAATTTATTGCAGTCTACTACGACAGCCCTAAATATGTATTTAAAACATTTTGCTAGAAACAATTTAAGTGTTTTTACATTATATAGTTGAAAAATGTATTTAAAGAAGCGAATTTTCAGTAAAAACTGAAATTTAGATATTACTGTATAGACTGATGACGTGGTGACAAATATTAATTGAATTTCGGCAATGTGATTTTATTAGATGAGATCTCATCTAATCTTCTTTGGCACTAATTAATTAATGGTTTTATATCATAATTAATGGTTTTATATCATAGTTAAAATATTTGTTGATACAAGCAAATTTTCTGTGAAATCTGAAACTTAGACATTAGTTTTTACCGTTTTGATAAAACTATAAGTAGCTTCAGATTAATACAGATTAGTTCCAACTGATTATTTCGGATTTAGTTCATATAAAAATAACTTAAATTATTTTTCGTCAGAACAGAACATGAATTAGATTTTCGATAGTATTATTTATTAATTAAGAATTAGAATTTAATTTGTTTTGCAATATCGCTTGTAAATAAAATACCTAATTTTAAATATTGTTTAACATCAGTCTTCCTTTGAACGCAATAATCACCATCTTCATCCACAACAGCTAAACCAGTATCATTATAAAAAAATGGGAAGGTTGTTATCACATCTGAAAAGACGTTTAATATCTGTTAATGATTGTTGAAATATATTTTCAGATGAATAATTAATAAAAAATATTCATAAATTCTGTCTGAATATTCGAATACTTTTGATGGAAAATTGATTCAAAGCAAATGATGATATTAGTAATAGTTGATAGAATTAATGGTAATTTTTGCAAATTAGTTGTGTAACATACGAAAAATTACATGCATCTGAAAATTATCACAATATATTTATTGTACATACAATTGTCTATATCAGCTGGGCTGGTTTCGTATCCGTTTTCGGCGTAAATTTCCGAAGTAACAGACAGTTCAGACATATTCCTGGTACCTGGTGTTTGAATCCACAGTTTTTTCTTTTCACTGCACAATATTTACTTAAATTTAACAATTCTTTGACATAACTATCACTGAATCCTCTTTTATTGGCACCAAACTCCTAATGATAATATATAAATAGTATTAAGAGTTATGTTCTTAAACAAATCGGGAAGATTTCGATGGCTTTTGGCTTGATGTGTTGATCTATATGCTGTGCATATTTCAGAGATGCACAACATTTTTCGTAATACAGGTAATGAAATTGAAAAATATTTATTTTTTAAACTCCAAATTAATATAAGAATATAATTAATAAGTGATACAATGAAAAAATGTGTAATTATAAAAACGTTTATCGAGGTTGGGTGATTATTAACTTCCTGTAGGGGTCGAAAATCGAAAACGAAAATTTTTATATATCTTCACGTTTCAGAGGTTTCTGAACATTTTGGCATACCTCAGAAAAATGGATGTGTGTGTGTGTGTTTTCATGCACGCAATTTTTCGTCCACGTTTTCGGTCGCACGGATCAACGGATTTAAATGGTTCAAAAAACATTTGATTCCTATTGATAGGAAGATGTGCTGATTAGTTTTTGGCAAAAGCAGGTCCAGACGTTCCGAAGATACGAAGCAAAGAGTGCAGAAAATAGAAATCGAGTTTTTGAGAGAACGGAGCATCGGATTTGAATGATTCAAAAAGCGTAAAATTTGTAATGATAGTGAAAAGTGGTGATTAGATTTTGGCAAAGGCAGGTCAAACCGTTTCGGAGATACAGAGCTAAATTTGCAAAAAATGGCAGTTTTTGAGAGAACTAAGCATCTGATTTCAATGATTCAAAAAACTCTCTGCTTGTGTTGACGAAACGATTGATTTTGGAAAAAAAAAATTTAACTAAATTATATTCTTTGAATATTTTATTATAGTATGGAAAGTTTCTGCAATTTACCTCAAGACACGATGCCATGCACCACTAGTTTTATATTAAATATATTTTTTTATATATTCACATTTTTCAAATATTTTTTATATAGTCACTGAAGAAGAGTCAAATTTAGACTCGAAACGTATGGATCGATTCAATTTATTAAGAAACATATCTTAGTTTATTTTCTATGTACTTATTATCTGGCTGGTAAAACACTTTTTTGTTTAAACAAATTATTTATATCACTATATCTAAAAAAATTTAACGAATGGAATTCAAAATGAACAAATGAATGAAATCAAGACTAAATGAATCCTTTTGTTGTTTGTACTAGTGAATAATACAAAATCAGATTTTTATTTTTGTAATACATTATGTACGAGTATATATGATGATATAAAAAAATAATCTTAAGTTGCAAAACCCTGTTTGGCACATTTACAACGAGTAAAAATTATAAAACAAAAAAAAATAAACATAACTTATTGTTCTTACTATTTTATATCTTCCACCATTGAAATGCTCTGTAGCATACACACACACTCACACATGTATGTATGTATATGATTTGTACGCATGTATATATCATATATACATATATGTATATAAATATGAATGTATGTGCTTGATTTGCCAAATGGTGAAATATTATGCAACGAAAAGTCTAATTAATATTAATAAAAAAATATCGAAACGACTAGTACTCTATTCAATTTTGTATCAGAATCAGAATAATTATATTAACCCTTTTCACTCTGATGCCGCCGCTACGGTGACAAAATACATATAAATTCGCTAGTGAAAAGGGTTAATAGCATGTATATGAAAAAATAAAGCACATACTTTGCCAACATTATTATAAATGAAACAATTATAAATATTAATTTACAACTTTTTCATTCATACATTGAAATACGAATTTGTAGTATCTGTTTTGTTGATATTTATTATACCAAGTAATATAAATGCATTACCCATATAATAATCTATTACTATTACTCCCGAATTACATAACGATAAGATAGTTCCACGCATTTAATTTGTTGAATATAAAATATAATAACGCATCCACATCATGAGTCTCCTCTTATCATCCTTTCTAATCGAAATGTTTTGACAGAAAACCATATATGCTTTCAATTTGCAAGAAAGAGAAAACACTACAGAAGATTTTCTTGTTTTCAAGTTGTAAATTTCTTGCGCATCCAATCCCAGCACCACACGAAGCATGTCACCAAGGTTAAGCGTAGCGTTGAGTGAGCGCGAATGATATGACGCAATGATAGGACAGGACTGGCGACTGTGACGTCATTGTAGGTATGTATTATGCTAGTTGCGCAATATTGCTTAGTAAGAAAATTTTTAATTGCGTTATATATATATATATATATATATATATATATTCTAATAAAGACTGTTTTCATCATTAAATTCTTATTATTATTGGGTGGATGTCCAGAAACATTTCGTCGTATATAGTAAATATGACCGGACAAACTTTGTTTTGCCATAAAAATATTTGCAAATGTGGTATATAATTGAAATAAATTGTTTTTTAAAGTAAGATTTAATTTTTTCTTTAAGCTCAAAAATCTGAAATCAAATTATGTCAATAATATTCAATTACTGAACGTAGAATGAAAAATGATTAAATTACTAAAATTGTTTAAAAATAGCATTACTGATAAAAATGTAAAAATTTAGGGTTGTATGTAATTTTTAATGCCACATTATAAAAAAAGAAACAAAAAAATCGTCAAAAAATCGTTCAAAAATTAAAAAAAAACATCAGAATAAACAACCCTTATCACTTAGGGGTAATCAAAATATGCGACCTACTGAATACGAAGATATTTGATAAAAATCGGTCAAACCGTTTCGGAGGAGTGCAGAAACAAAAATTGTGACATGAAAATTTTATATATAAAATATACAATAATAATAATAAATGGCAGTCTCCCCGAAGGCAGGTCCATAGTGTGTCTAAAAGATATTTAAACCAAACTAACATTATCAGTTTATAAATCTGATGACTATAAATTTTATTATCTGGTTAAGTTAACTATAAATTTTATTATTTGGTTAAATATTTTTATTTTTATTTCAGTTCCGCATTTATTTAAAAACGATATTATATTTTCGTGAGTGAGAAATAATTTAAATATTTGTCGTTTTTTATTTTGGTCATTTGACCTTAAGTAAGGTGACTATAAGCCCCTGTTTGGCCGATACAGTTTCGGATTTACACCTTGTGTCCCGGGTTTTTCTAAAACAATATTTGTCCCGGATTTAGATTTTTTAACCCGGATTGTTCTGGGTTTCCGAAAACTATAGGTTTTGAATTGAATCTTCGCAATTACTTGATGATAAAATTTTAATTACCCATCAAATATCCGAAAATTATATATATTGTGTTACAATTATAACATAATGTATGTAGTATGTATATCATTTTCAGATTGCTTTAGGACCACGAATATGCTTATAAATACGTTAAAATAAGAAAGAATCAATACGTTATGAATTCGAAAATTGACGATTACAAAATTCCAAGACGAGTTAAAATAGTTTCTCACATTATAAATTAAATTATTATAATAATTTCTTTTTAAACTTCGCGAAAATTAGCAGGAATTATAAAAACGGACATTTTGACTATCTGCCACGTAGTAATTTTTTTCAAGTTAATTATGAAGAAATTAATATAAAAATTTTATGCAATACTCAAAAGTGAAAAAAATATATAGAACCAAAATTTTAAAATTTTATATAACAAATAATGGAATAAACGGTATTTATAATAGTCACTATGCTAAGGTCACCTTACCTTAAATAAATATTCAAGAATTTGTGTCAAATTCGAACATAAAATCTAAAGCGAGTAAACTGGGCAGTTTTCGTTAATATTTTTATGAGCAGAAATGCGTAGCTACGAAATCCAATAATTTAATAAAATTAATTAACTTATTAATAAAATTAATTATAAAAACGTTAATTTAACGTTAAATCGAATCGGGTCACCCTATCAAGACATCACCTTGGCGCTGGCCACGTTTTCCGATGTCTTGCAGTGTTGGTAGCTACTTGGGTCTCACCATTTCATAAGAGTTGGCATTTTGTGATTGGCGCTTGTGGTTCATGAAGCATACCATCGGCATTTGACGTTAATATTTAATAAAATTAGTCTATCAAGATGCGCTTTTTAGCGATATTTACTGTTTTAGCCCTTACCTTAAGTATAAACTGTGATGAAGATGTCAAAACCGAAGAAAGTGTTCTTGTACTGACAAAGGATAACTTTGATGACACTGTTAAAAACAACGCATTCGTACTTGTCGAATTCTGTAAGTTTTATTAATTTTAGTTAATTATACTTAGTTTGTTCGTTACGGCTTTTTTTAAGTTATTTCTCGAATATTTTTTGCACTAATAGTAATGGGTCATTAGCCTTTCGTTTTTTATTTGTGCCGCACCGGATGTGTTTGGTGACGTGTAAACAATGGCACTTTATCAGAATCTTAAAATAATGTAATTACATCTATTAATAACTAATTAAGCATTGCAACGTTTATCTACGGTCTTCTAAAAAACGTGCACATTCAAATTTTCAGTAATATAACAGATTCCTTATAATATTACTTTCAAGTAATGTGTGGGTGTGTGACGTCTTGTTTTAGTGATATTTTCAATACTATTGTGCAATGACTTGAAATAAAATGATTATTGATAACATACGTATATGAGAAATTGGTTTAGAGAATAAATGAGATTCCCTTACAATCCCTTACAATTTTGTCATCAATATTATTCTCGGTCTATTCAGATGCTCCATGGTGTGGACACTGCAAAGCTTTAGCCCCAGAATACGCAAAAGCAGCCAAACAGTTAGAAGATGAAAAATCTGAAATCAAACTTGCCAAAGTTGATGCCACTGAAGAAGGCGATTTGGCTGAGAAATATGGTGTTCGAGGATATCCAACTTTAAAATTCTTCCGTAGCGGAAGTGAAATTGATTATACAGGTAAAATAGTTGGCAAACTAATGTACTTAGAGTAGTTTATTATTAAATAGTGGTTTTAATAATCTTTTTAGCTTTATTTTAATGAATATTTAATGATATTTTGAAATCTATTATAATTTATTCTCTGTGAATTGTTGGCTTCTATAATTCAAAACATTTGTCATGTTAAACAAGAAGTTTCAAATATATATAGTTTAGATATATTTATATCTTGATTGTAATGATTCATAACCATAAGTACAATGAGAATCCTCTCATATATAAAGGAAATATATGAATAAAAACTTAATTTTATTATTTTGTAGGTGGACGCCAAGCTGATGACATTATTACTTGGTTGAAAAAGAAGACTGGACCACCAGCTAAAGAACTGGAATCTGTTGATGACGCCAAAGCATTTGTTGAGGAAAGCCAAGTTGTCGTTATTGGTTTCTTTAAGGATCGTGAATCAGCTGAAGCTAAGGCATTCTTGTCAACTGCTAACTCTGTTGATGATTATCCATTTGGTATCACGAGCAATGAAGAAGTTTATAAGAATTATGAAGCCAAATGTGGTTCAGTCATTCTTTTTAAGAAAGTAAGTTTCAAAGTTGCTTTTATTTATGTGTATCAATTCAACAATTATAAAATTTTTGAAGAAATTTTTATATAATTTTTTTCTAGTAAGTGTGCTCAATACCCAAATTAGTTCTTGCAAGCCTAAGTTTATTAATTTGTTTCTTTGTCTTTAATTCAAACATTATCCCTTTCAATAGGGTTATTGCAAACATGTACTATGAAACATTTTCAAAATTTTCTTATCCAATCATTTATTTTAATTTTTCTTTTTGACGAACAGAGTTTTATTTATTTCTTTATTTTCGAAATATATTACCCACAGATTTTTTTCAAGAGGACTTAAAAATACAATTATTATACATTATTGATAAAAATTAATAAATATATAATTAATATATAATATGGATAAATTACAATATATAGTAAAATTAAAAAGTTAAAATGTTTTTATCATATGATATTTGATTGCACATTTTTTGTGTTCCATATGCATCTTACAATAACAAATATATATTGGTTTCAGTTTGATGAAGGAAAAGCTGTTTTTGAAGGTGAAGCAACTTCAGAAGAGGCTCTTAAGAAATTCGTTCAATCACAATCGTTGCCCCTTATGGTAGAATTCAACCACGAGACTGCACAAAAGATCTTTGGTGGAGATATTAAGAGCCATTTATTATTGTTCCTGTCAAAGGTGAGAACCTCATGATCCATAATATTAACATTTTATTGAATGTCGTGGTTGAGACGGCCTTAGCGATGTAATATACAAAGTCTTCCTTTTTGCAAACTTTTTGTTCATAATTCTTTACTTATTTGCTCTTGGTTTATTAACAATTCAGCAAAATATGAATCCAACAATTAATGTGCTTGATATTCAAACTGACAGAAGGCAATAAAAGAAATTTTAACAGATACATTGACAAATCTATTTGATGGATAATTATTTATTGGAACAATTTTACTTTTGTTCATGTTTTTTTATTGATTTGAACTATACAAATAATATAATTAATATTATTACTTTTATATTGAAAAAGCATATTCTTTATCATTTATTTGGTGTTCTGAAATCAAATTGCCATTAAGTAATTTGTTTAATTTTTTATTATAGGAAGGTGGGCATTTTGACAGCTATGTTGAGGGAGCACGGGAGGTTGCAAAAGAATTCCGCGATCAAGTACTGTTTGTTACAATCAACGCTGATGAAGAAGATCACCAAAGGTAAAAAATCAATAGTTTAATCAAATCAAATGCAACAATTAGAACATATAGACACTTGTTTTAATATATTTGAAAAAAAATATTCTGCAACATTCAAATTTATGCATATGTTGTTTTATATATACAAAATTATAATATTAATACGTATGTTCATTTAATTCATATATTTTTCTGATGTAAATAGAATTTTGGAATTCTTTGGCATGAAGAAAGAGGAGGTGCCTGCTATGAGATTAATCAAGTTGGAAGAGGATATGGCAAAATACAAACCAGCTACACCAGACCTTTCAGCAGAAAATATTAAAGTTTGTGAAATTTTATTTATAATTATGATTCACTACTGTGAATTTTTTTTTATAGTTTACATCTGTATAAATTATTGCTAATACTTATTTTGAATGTACAGGAATTCGTAGGAAGCTTTATTGAAGGCAAATTGAAGCAACATTTATTATCTCAAGATCTTCCAGAAGATTGGGATAAGAATCCAGTTAAGGTTTTAGTCAGCTCCAATTTTGATGAAGTAGCATTCAATTCAGAAAAGGATGTTCTTGTGGAATTCTATGCTCCATGGTAACAGCCTGATTTAAAATTAGCATTATATTTTTATTTAAAATCATTGATTTATAAATAAGATATTAATGCATTTTTTGGTTTTTGTTAACACACATAAAATTTTTAGGTGTGGTCATTGTAAACAACTTGCTCCTATTTATGATGAATTGGGTGAAAAATATAAGGATTCTGAAACTGTTGTAATTGCTAAAATGGATGCCACTGTAAATGAATTGGAACATACTAAAATAACTTCATTCCCGACAATTAAATTGTTCAGCAAAGGAGAAAATAAGGTCTTTTAAAATTTTATTTTTTAATACACAGAGTGTATGATTTATGTTCTGTTTTTGAACTTTTCAATATGCATTTTTAAACCATTTCACAGGTAATTGATTTCAATGGCGAGCGAACATTAGATGGATTTGTTAAATTCTTGGAATCTGGTGGCTCATATGGCGAGGGACCATCTGATGAGGTATGTGACAATTCTTTTATACATAAAAACACATTTGATAATAAATTTATGAGTAAAATTATTTTTACATGTTATTATTTTTAAACTGATTTGTTTTAATTCTACAAGAATTAAAACAAATCAGATTTAATAATAATAACAAATCTGATATAATATTGCTTTTTTATATCAAATAGGTATTGGAATCACATCTTCAAAATGAATTTATTTTTTCTTATCCTTGTGTTTGTTACAGGCACAAGAAGAAGATGAAGATGATGATTTGCCACGAAAGGATGAATTGTAAATTTAAGTGTTGTGATGAGAGACTGCCTTTTAAATTAATTGCAAAGTTTTTAATAAGTTAAACAAGATAGGTTTCGATAGATATATTTTATTGTCTGTATTATATTATAATTTTTTTTCTATTGTACATTATTACATTACATCAAAAAAATTCAATTATCATGTCTGTATTTCTACATTTGTGTATGAACAAAATGTGATCTATGTTGAGATTGCTATGAATTTATATTTATTTTGAAGTGTATAAATTGTAGTTCATCACATTGGATTCAACATTCCTGAAATATCCATATAAGAGTTTACATGTCTAATTCTATGGTTTCTATTAACAAATTGTATTTGTTGGCATGGATGTTATAAGTGAGACATACTTTATAAAATATATATTTATAAAAAAATCCTATTTTTACTTTATACTAGCAGCAATTTTATTTAAATTTTGTGTTTAAGTTACGTTTTTATTGTTGGTATATATACAATTTAAAATAGTGTTTTTTTTGACATTTTTTTTAATCAATTACACCTAAGTCTGTTTTTACATGGTAGAATGGTTCCAGAAGAAGCCGTGTAAAAAAAAACGTGTAAAAAAAGACATTGATCTTATACAAAAATGGGTGATTTGTTCCTAATCTCTAAAACTTATTAAAATTAGTAAAAAACAAGAGTTTTTAAGAACAAGAATTAAATTCTTGCTCTTCACATTTGCTTTGACCAGTAAAAATTGTTTGTACGCGCTAAAGGGGAATTCACTTTAAGCTAATGTTTGCAAACTATCGATACTATCGATGGTTTCAGACTTTTTTCTTTCAAAAATACTTTTTTGTGATATGAACATACTTCGCAAAAATTAAATTTGACAAAAAAATTTAAGTACATAAAATTTCAAATCGTGCTAAATGGAATAAAATCGTGTTATATCAAAACCGTGTACAAAAAGACCGTGTCAAAACAGACTTAGGTGTACTACATAATACTTCTGCACAGTTTGTGAAATGTGTTCAATTAAATCTGTAATCCAGTGATTTCCAACCTGTGGGGCGCGCCCCCCTGGGGGGATGCAGCATACCGTTCCAAGGGGGGCGCGAAGCTGTTTTAAAAATATTATTTTTAAATGCTGAGTAAATGTCAAAAACAAATCAACAAAATACTTAAAGTACTTCTAAGAGTGTTTGAGCTCAAAAAAGAAATTGCTATATTTCTTGCTGATAACAAAAGAGACGGAGCAATCTTGTTTTAGGACACAAAGTTACTCGCAAAATTTGCGTATTTAGTTGATATTTTTCAAAGACTTGGCGATTTAAATAAATCAATGCAAGGATCTCAAATTCGTGCTTTTGCTCAGAAAGACAAGATTACGGCTTTTATGAAAAAATAGAACTGTGTATAGCTAGTATCAAATAACTTTATAACTTTAACATGTTCCCCACTTGTGTTACTGATGAAATAGAAGTAAGTAAAGATCTTATTATTATATCAGTCATATGACTAGTCTCCGAAACCAATTTTCGCATTACTTTATCTAATTACGTCCAAATACGAATGAATTTCTAATCCATCATTGAGAAACATGATGATTTTGGTCATTCAAAAGCAGAGCAGAAAATGATAATTGATTTATCTAGTAATAGCACATTGAAGCAGATGTTTCAGGACGAAAATATATTGTTAATTTTTGGTTACCAGTAAAGGACGATTTTGCTACTTTGACAAATAATGCTTTAGAAATTTTACTATCATTTGTGAGATCTTACTTATATGAAACAAAAAATTCTTATAATAAATAGTTATGTTTGTATGTATATTTTTTATAATACTGTGTATGATATGGCATAATTTCAGTTATGTTAAGTGTATTAAAATTAAATTGTTAGAAAAATAAGAAGGGGGGCGCAATATTTTTTTCTTTCGAAAGGGGGGCGCAAGAAAGAAAAGGTTGGAAACCGCTGCTGTAATCTTTCTTGTTATATCAACTTTACATGTGTTCCAACATAACTAGTTCTATTTTCTTTACATCAGATTCCACCAGTATGTTGTATCCTTCGACTTACTCTTCTTTTATCTATGGTTGTATCCTGCTCGTTGCCGTTCGTTCTGGCACGTGCATTCTTGCTTGTTCATTTTCGTTCGTTTAGGTGAGGGTGCACCTTTATTTATATTTCTCGGTTGCTCGGTTTTGTGGACAAGTTCATGTTACCTATGAAACATTGGCAACACTGTACACAAATTGATTAATTTTTTTTGACAATTCTCACTACATAACCAATAATTGAGTTCTTTACCCTCACTGAAAATTGCTTTATTTTCCTCAAATTGCATAATTTAAAAATGCTTTTGACAACAGTTCATTTGAACATGTGCACATTTTAAATACTTTATTTTATTTAAGTGTGATTTAGCTTAATTGTTAATTTTTAATGTATGTATTAATATTGTACTTTCATCTTCTGGAAAATAATTTGATTTAAAAATGCATTACATAACAATATATAACTTATAGTTTTTGTTACTTATCCTCAGTCATCTACTGTAGACTACAACAATGGCCAAATTTCTGGTACACTCTTCAATTTTTGGTTGTGTCAGTATTGTGAGTTATTTCATCGGGTGCAATATCGAAAGAAAAAATATATTAAACCATTTCAAATCCCAAAACATTGATTTGAATGTTTTGAGCAAGGTATTATAATTTTTTTTATATTGTGAATGCTTTGATAAGATGAGTATTTCTGATTTAATATTATTCATTTAAATAGATCTAATATTAAATTTTGAAGACATTCATTATGGTATCAAAAGTAATAGATCATAGTTTTATTGCATTTAATTATGTTAAATATATGTTCAAATAAGAATAAATGTATGTTCAAAATAGATATGAATTACAGTAGTACCTCAATTAACCGGACTAATTGTTGTCGATGGTCATTTGGATAATCGAAATCAAATGTATGAAGAATAATGTTGTGTATTTATTAAAAGTAACAATTACATACATAGATATTAACAAAAATCAATGTTTAGTAAGAAATTAACACTTTGTTATATATGTACATACAAATTTTCTTCAATTACATTACGTACATATACTAAATTGCGGTATTAATAATGCAAAAATTCCAATTGTAGGTATGTACATACATAAAAATTGGTCGCGGTTGGTAGTCCAGAAAATCGCGAATCTGTGTAACTGAGGACTGGATAAATGAGGTTCTACTGTAAATCCTTAATTAATGTATTAGCAAATACATCTTATCGCTTATTTTTTCTTATTTGTGAATTCTCAGATTAGTTGGTCATCCTATACACTGAACACTTGAAGAATATAAAAATTGTATTTGTAATTCAACAGATACAAGAAAGGCCTGGTTTACCGATATTTGGCACTGTTTCAGCAGCAACTCCTTTTAGTGATAATAGTCATCCAAGTAGAATATCTCAGATAATGAAATATGGCTTTCCTGGTTTAGATAATGTACGGTCTTTTGATGATTATGTTTTATCTTATGATAGAAGAAATAAAGTTGCTCATTGGGTTTTTGAGCACTTGACAAAAGAAACAGTTAAGCAAAATGATGAAGTTGATAGATCTAAGTGTGAATTTACAGAAGACAAGAGTATCCACCCATATTTTAGGTGAAGGTTTTTTTTTATATTTGATATTTGAGTCATTTTATTTATTCTGATGAAATTATGGTCTCGACAGATCAGCAAACACTGACTACAAAGGTTCTGGTTATGACAGAGGACATTTGGCTGCTGCAGGTAACCACAAGTATGATCAAAAACACATAGAACAGACATTTTTTTTGAGCAATATAGCACCTCAGGTAACTAGCATGATCCTATGAATTTATAATGTAAATTAATTCTATTTGTGTCTATAAATTAAAATAAAAGGTTGGGAATGGATTTAATCGTCACTCTTGGAATCGATTAGAGCGTTATGTGAGAAAACTGACAAACCGTTATCCTAATGTATATTGTTGTACCGGGCCACTATATCTTCCAAAGTGAGTTCATTTTTTTTTAATGCTTATTGATATAATTTTAACTTAATTGGTCTATAAAATATTCAATTTTTATTATTTATACAATTTACTTCAGTACATTAAATAATTATGTTTTAAAAAATAAAATTATAATAGACTATGATGGAATAAACTTATAATTAATAATGTTTTAAAATTACAAATCAAATCAGTATTTTTTAATACTTTTTCATTTAATAAGAATATTATTTATTTAGATATTGCTTTTAAAAATTGTGATTTAATTTATAACAAAGAATTTCATTAAACCTCAAATTTGACCTGTAGAGTGAATTTCAGATTTATTGTAATGTTATATTTTAATTATAATAACAATATTGCGAATTCACATACATGTGAAAACTGTGATATGGTGGTATAAATCACTGGTAAATTACTGTGTATTCAATTTTAAGCATCTTTTCTAGATCTTCAATCTAGACCAATATGTGAAAACAACATAAAAATTTAATTTTAACTGTAACGAAAAATTTGGAAAAAGTATGTGTGTGCGTTTGTGAGCCGAATTCCAATAGATGTAGCTCACATGCATTAATTAGTTTCATGGCAACCGGCCATGCCGTTTCTTCATAAAATACAGAAAGTGCAAAATTTTTTGTCCATCCTTTCTTAAAAAATTCTAAATCAATTTTGAAACATCAAACACTTTTTGAAAGGTATTTTACCTTGGTTGGGGTATTGAGCTGGTTTGGATTAATGAAGCGTCACTGAGTACAATATCATCTTATTGATTATTTATGCATGTTGTGATGTTAGTGCAACTTTTTTTTAAGCCAAAATGCCACTTACCCCTAACCATCTGAATTGAATTGTGAAATATCATGAATCATAGACCTGTTTTCGGATATAGCTTCCTAGAATTTTTAATTGATGTTTATGTAAATGAAGAACATAAAGAATCTGCTTATTTCATCTTACATATTATATTTCTAACTTCCTGAAGGCTATAATTAGCTAATTTTATGTTTTCTCGGCGTTTCAAGCCATTCTGAATCGAATGAGATCAAATTTAAGGAAAAAGTATGTGTGTGCGTGTGCGTGTGTGTGAAAATTAAAAAATTTTGATGTATCTCGATGAGCACTAGCGTTTATCAATTTTGCGCGACAGTCAGCCAAGCCGTTTTTTTTTTGTAAATAGCAGAAAAGTGAAATACTTTTCGTTCACGTTTTAGCCCGCAATTCTGAATCGATTTGGAAATTCAAAAACCGTTCGAAAGATATTGGTTGGGAATCGTGCTGTTTGCACGTTTGGGAATAGTTTTTGGCCGGGTCGTTTTCTTGTAATAAAATGTTAACAATTTTTTCGTCGATTTTTATAATTTTTTTTATTTTTATGTAATATTACGGCCATACGACAAGACATTTAATTTTCAAAGTCTTCAAATCTTCAAAGTTTGCAAAAATTAGTATCGTTTTTTGGCATTTGTCAAAATTAGACCTTTGATCGCCGTTTTCTCAAAAACGCCTGAACCGATTTCAGAAATTTAAAAGCCATTTGATGTATCTCAATGAGGACTATCGTTTGTCAGTTTTGTGCGACGATCTACCAAGCCTTTTTTTTGAAATTTGAAAAAAGTGTTAAACTATCCGTCTACATTTAAGCTCAAACTACCAAATCGATTTTAAAAAATCAAAAACTGTTCGACAGATATTAGTTGGGATGATACTGATTAGTTTTAGGTGAAAGTCTACCGAGCCGTGAAAATTTGTTTTTAGAACATACTTGGAGTTAACATGTTCGTTCATTTTCAATTATGTGTAATAAATCCACTCGGAATACTTTTAATCACTCATAAATTAATTTATTTTTTATTGATTAAGTCGATTATTTACACATATCGGGAAGTTCATGTAACTTGCGTCAAGGCAAAATACCAATTCCAACTAGTTCTTTTTTTGTTAAGAAGTATGCAAACATATTTGTATCAGACTGCAAAAAATGTTTGATATTTTTTATAAAATGATACTAGAAAATGCATGAAAGGTACTCTACCATAATTATTAATATTTATTATGTAAATATTAGATGTATGTATTTGTTCTTGAACATGTTGCTGATTTATGCCAATTAAATCTCTCTAGAAAAGAAGCTGATGGAAAAACCTATATTAAATATGAAGTTATAGGTGCAAATTCTGTTGCTGTACCTACACATTTTTACAAAGTTGTAGTTTGTGAGACAGCTGATAGTAATTTTGAAATGGAGGCATATGTTATGCCTAATGCCGCAATAGATGACAATGTACCGTTAGAATCATTTCAGGTATTATAATTTCTTTGTCTTTATTTTGCTACAAATAAAATAATAGAATAAACATTTAGTCTTTATCAATGTTTTGATATACACTCATTTATAATAAGCAAGCTTAGGGTGTACAAACTTTTCAAATTTGGTATCAGTTTTTTCAAAACTTATATTTTTAGTATAAGGGACAAATATTTTTGGCATAAAATATTATGTAAATATAATGAATTTAATTTTTTTTAGGTGCCTCCAGAGTCCATTGAAAAAGCTGCCGGTTTGTTGTTTTTTGATAAAGTTTCTCATAACAGACTAGTCAGAATAAACCATAAAAAATTAAGATAACATTTTTCAATTAATCAATAGTGCGTTTTATTAAGTTATAATAAAAATAATATTTTAAATTATAATAATAAAAATTGTAGAAAACAGATTAAACGTATATCACTTGTACTTTGGAATTTATTGTCTCCACAAATGAGGACAAAAAATGTAGATTTTTTGACATGTTTGAATAGATTGGAGTGAAAAATCATGGACTGATATCTACAAGTTTTTATTTATAGATGGCGGCTTTAAGTTGTCTTTTTTTATCAATTCATAACTCTCGCTGTGCAGTACTGCTGATGAGTTATAAATTTTTTACAAGTCATAACGCATTTTTTCCCCAAAATTTTTTTGACCAAAATTTTTTCTAAAAAATTTTTTCCCAAAATTTTTTCTAAAAATTTTTCTCCCAAAATTTTTTCTAATTTTTTGAATTTTTACAATTTTGAATTAAAATGTGACTGTTCTCCTAAACGATTTTGACGAGATTTTGTATGGAATTCAATATTTTTCGAACTAAAATATTTCTTCTACCAGGGGAAAAAAAATTTAGGTCAAAATTTTTGGAAAAAAAATTTTGGTCAAAAAAATTTTTGGAAAAAAATTTTTGTCAAAAAAATTTTGGTCAAAAAAATTTTTGGTCAAAAAAATTTTGGTCAAAAAAAATTTTGGTTCAAAAATTTTTTTGACCAAATTTTTTTCCAAGATTTTTTGGACCAAAATTTTTTTGACCATCCATTTTTTTGACCAAAATTTTTCTCCAAAAATTTCTTTGACCAAAATTTTTTTGACCAAATTTTTTTTCCCAAAATTTTTTTCCCCAAATTTTTTTTTTCTTTTGACCAAAATTTTTTTGACCAAAAATGTTTTGGCCAAAAATTTTTTTGACTAAAATTTTTTTTTCAAAATTTATTGGACCAAAATTTTTTTTCCCAAAATTTTTCTGACCAAAATTTTTTTGACCAAGTTTTTTTTTGACCATCCATTTTTTTTGACCGATTTTTTGGACCAAAATTTTTTTGACCAAATTTTTTTGACCATCCATTTTTTTGACCAAATTTTTCAAACATTTCTCTTGGACAAAATTTTTTTGACCAAAATTTTTTTTCCCAAATTTTTTTCCCCAAATTTTTTTTTCTTTTGACCAAAATTTTTTTGACCAAAATGTTTTGGCCAAAAATTTTTTGGACTAAATTTTTTGTTCAAAATTTATTGGACCAAAATTTTTTTCCCACTTTTTTCAGCCAAAATTTTTTGACCAAAAATTTTTGCCAAAAATTTTTTTCCAAAAATTTTCTTCCAAAGATTTTTTTTTAAATGTTGGAATTTTTTCCAAAATTTTTTTCCCAAAATTGTTTTTCCCGAAATTTTTTGGACCAAATTTTTTTTTCCGAAAATTTTTTTGACCAAAATTTTCGACAAAAATTGTTTTTGACAATTTTTTTCGAAAAAAAATTTTGGTCAAAAAAATTTTCGGAAAAAAAATTTGGTCAAAAAAAAATTTCGGGAAAAACAATTTTGGGAAAAAAATTTTGGAAGAAAAATTCCAAAAATTTAAAAAAAAAATCTGGAAGAAAATTTTTGGAAAAAAATTTTTGGCAAAAAATTTTTGGTCAAAAAAATTTTGGCTAAAAAAATTGTGGGAAAAAAAATTTTGGTCCAATAAATTTTGAAAAAAAAATTTTAGTCAAAAAAATTTTTGGCCAAAACATTTTTGGTCAAAAAAATTTTGGTCAAAAGAAAAAAAAAATTTGGGGAAAAAAATTTGGGAAAAAAAATTTGGTCAAAAAAATTTTGGTCAAAGAAATTTTTGGAAAAAAAATTTTGGTCAAAAAAAATGGATGGTCAAAAAAATTTGGTCAAAAAATTTTTGGTCCCAAAAATCGGTCAAAAAAATGGATGGTCAAAAAAAAACTTGTGTCAAAAAAATTTTGGTCAGAAAAATTTTGGGAAAAAAAATTTTGGTTCCAATAAATTTTGAAAAAAAAATTTTAGTCAAAAAAATTTTTGGCCAAAACATTTTGGTCAAAAAAATTTTGGTCAAAAGAAAAAAAAATTTGGGGAAAAAAATTTGGGAAAAAAAATTGGTCAAAAAAATTTTTGGCAAAGAAATTTTTGGAGAAAAATTTTGGTCAAAAAATGGGATGGTCAAAAAAATTTTGGTCCAAAAAATCTTGAAAAAAATTTGGTCAAAAAAATTTTTGAACCAAAATTTTTTTGACCAAAATTTTTTTGACCAAAAATTTTTTTGACCAAAATTTTTTTGACAAAAATTTTTTTCCAAAAATTTTTTTGACCAAAATTTTTTTTCCAAAAATTTTGACCTAAATTTTTTTTCCCCTGGTAGAAGAAATATTTTAGTTCGAAAAATATTGAATTCCATACAAAATCTCGTCAAAATCGTTTAGGAGAACAGTCACATTTTAATTCAAAATTGTAAAAATTCAAAAAATTAGAAAAAAATTTTGGGAGAAAAATTTTTCAGAAAAAATTTTGGGAAAAAAATTTTTTAGAAAAAATTTTGGTCAAAAAAATTTTGGGGAAAAAATGCGTTATGACTTGTAAAAAATTTATAACTCATCAGCAGTACTGCACAGCGAGAGTTATGAATTGATAAAAAAAGACAACTTAAAGCCGCCATCTATAAATAAAAACTTGTAGATATCAGTCCATGATTTTTCACTCCAATCTATTCAAACATGTCAAAAAATCTACATTTTTTGTCCTCATTTGTGGAGACAATAAATTCCAAAGTACAAGTGATATACGTTTAATCTGTTTTCTACAATTTTATTATATTATAATTTAAAATATTATTTTTATTATAACTTAATAAAACGCACTATTGATTAATTGAAAAATGTTATCTTAATTTTTTATGGTTTATTCTGACTAGTCTGTTATGAGAAACTTTATCAAAAAACAACAAACCGGCAGCTTTTTCAATGGACTCTGGAGGCACCTAAAAAAAAATTAAATTCATTATATTTACATAATATTTTATGCCAAAAATATTTGTCCCTTATACTAAAAAATATAAGTTTTGAAAAAAACTGATACCAAATTTGAAAAGTTTGTACACCCTAAGCTTGCTTATTATAAATGAGTGTATATCAAAACATTGATAAAGACTAAATGTTTATTCTATTATTTTATTTGTAGCAAAATAAAGACAAAGAAATTATAATACCTGAAATGATTCTAACGGTACATTGTCATCTATTGCGGCATTAGGCATAACATATGCCTCCATTTCAAAATTACTATCAGCTGTCTCACAAACTACAACTTTGTAAAAATGTGTAGGTACAGCAACAGAATTTGCACCTATAACTTCATATTTAATATAGGTTTTTCCATCAGCTTCTTTTCTAGAGAGATTTAATTGGCATAAATCAGCAACATGTTCAAGAACAAATACATACATCTAATATTACAAATAAAATATTAATAATTATGGTAGAGTACCTTTCATGCATTTTCTAGTATCATTTTATAAAAAATATCAAACATTTTTTGCAGTCTGATACAAATATGTTTGCATACTTCTTAACAAAAAAAGAACTAGTTGGAATTGGTATTTTGCCTAGAAGCAAGTTACATAAACTTCCCGATATGTGTAAATAATCGACTTAATCAATAAAGAATGAATTAAACTTTGAGTGATTAAAAGTATTCCGAGTGGATTATTACACATAATTGAAAATGAACGAACACGTTAACTCAGAGTATTTTCTAAAAACAAATTTTCACGGCTCGGTAGACTTTCACCTAAAACTAATCAGTATCATCCCAACTAATATCTGTCGAACAGTTTTTGATTTTTTTAAATCGATTTGGTAGTTTGAGCTTAAATGTAGACGGATAGTTTAACACTTTTTTCAAATTTCAAAAAAAGGCTTGGTAGATCGTCGCACAAAACTGACAAACGATAGTCCTCATTGAGATACATCAAATGGCTTTTAAATTTCTGAAATCGGTTCAGGCGTTTTTGAGAAAACGGCGATCAAAGGTCTAATTTTGACAAATGCCAAAAAACGATACTAATTTTTGCAAACTTTGAAGATTTGAAGACTTTGAAAATTAAATGTCTTGTCGTATGGCCGTAATATTACATAAAAATAAAAAAAATTATAAAAATCGACGAAAAAATTGTTAACATTTTATTACAAGAAAACGACCCGGCCAAAAACTATTCCCAAACGTGCAAACAGCACGATTCCCAACCAATATCTTTCGAACGGTTTTTGAATTTCCAAATCGATTCAGAATTGCGGGCTAAAACGTGAACGAAAAGTATTTCACTTTTCTGCTATTTACAAAAAAAAAACGGCTTGGCTGACTGTCGCGCAAAATTGATAAACGCTAGTGCTCATCGAGATACATCAAAATTTTTTAATTTTCACACACACGCACACGCACACACATACTTTTTCCTTAAATTTGATCTCATTCGATTCAGAATGGCTTGAAACGCCGAGAAAACATAAAATTAGCTAATTATAGCCTTCAGGAAGTTAGAAATATAATATGTAAGATGAAATAAGCAGATTCTTTATGTTCTTCATTTACATAAACATCAATTAAAAATTCTAGGAAGCTATATCCGAAAACAGGTCTATGATTCATGATATTTCACAATTCAATTCAGATGGTTAGGGGTAAGGCATTTTGGCTTAAAAAAAAGTTGCACTAACATCACAACATGCATAAATAATCAATAAGATGATATTGTACTCAGTGACGCTTCATTAATCCAAACCAGCTCAATACCCCAACCAAGGTAAATACCTTTCAAAAGTGTTTGATGTTTCAAAATTGATTTAGAATTTTTAAGAAAGGATGGACAAAAAATTTTGCACTTTCTGTATTTTATGAAGAAACGGCATGGCCGGTTGCCATGAAACTAATTAATGCATGTGAGCTACATCTATTGGAATTCGGCTCACAAACGCACACACATACTTTTTCCAAATTTTTCGTTACAGTTAAAATTAAATTTTTATGTTGTTTTCACATATTGGTCTAGATTGAAGATCTAGA